AGACAGGATCGGGCTTGTTCAGGGTGGCATGGCCGTAGACGCCTGTATGTCTTTAAAGCTGAAGTGAGTCTCTTGTAGGCAATATACAGTTGGGTGTTTTTTTTTCATCTATTCAGCCACCCTGTGCCTTTTAATTGGTGAGTTCAATGCCTTTAAATCTAGAGTTATTATTGATTTGTGATGTTTTCTAATATTATATTTTTAATGTCAATATCTAATATTGATTCTTGATGTCACTTATGTCATCTTATTAATTGTTTTTTGGGGTGTTTCATATTTCCATGGTTTCTTTTTCTTTTGGTTTCTGCCTATCTTTGTAAATTGGTGGTTTTCCGTGATGGTATGCTCTGTATCCCTGTTATCGTCTCTGCTCTGTGTTTTTGCTTTGTGGTACTATGAGACTTGCATAAGACATATTACAGATAAAACAGTTCGTTTCAAGTCCGTTTAGCAACTTAACTTAGATTATCTACTAAAGCTTCACCCTTTTACTCCTCTCTTTTATGTTTTTTTAAATTTATTTATGTATTTTTAATTCTTTAATGTCACCACTTATTGGACCCCTTTTACCCCATCTACCTTCCCCCTCACCCTTTTATGTTTTTGATGTCATCGTTTACCTCTTTTTATATTATGTGTTCATTAACACATTATAGCAGCAATAGTTATTTTTGATACATTTTTCATTTGATTTTTATACTCTAGTTAGTTGATTAGCGCATCACCCCATTTCATATTTAGTTTTCTAAGTCTGCGTATGTACCTTTACTGGTGTTCTGTTTCATGGTGTCATTATCTAGGTTTTCTCTGTCTCTGTGTGGGTACAGCTGCTCCATTCTTCTTGCTCCCTCTTGTGGCGGAATTCAAAACTCACCGCCATCTGCTGGAGACCTCTCTTGTTTTCCAGAAGGTGACACTGTAGCTCAAGTTTGCCATTTCTCCCTTGGCCACAGACCGAGGCCTATTTTCTGAGTGGGCTCCCTGTCTGCCAGAGTTCTTTCTTGTGCTACACATGGAAACACAAGGAGCCAGCTGCAGAGTTGGGGGAGGTGTGGGTTTAGTATTCAAGCTTTGGGGGTGCCTGCAGACCCTAGTAGGGAGATCCCTGGGTGTGAGACTTTAGGAGGCTGTGGGTGGACTTCCTGCTGCACGGGATCCCTTTAATGCCCTTTGAAATTTTTGTCTTCCCCTTTCCCAGCCTTCCTCCCCACCCTTACACTCCCCACTCCCGTCCCCCTCCTGGCCCCGCCACGCCCTCTCTGGATCCTGCTGGAGAGAAATGAGTTTCTCCAGCTGCATTCCACACAGCCCGGGTAACTGGGCACTCACTCACTACTCTCCTTTCCATCACCGAAGAGGATACCATAACCAGATATATCAGCCTTGTGCAGCCTTTCAGGAGTGCAGTGCTGGGAAAGTTTCTCTTTCTCCTGCCTCTGCCATAATCAAACTTGTGTTTTGGTTTCGTTTGCTCCAAAGGCGCACTGGATTCTCCCCCTTGGGAATTCTGGGCTTCTGCACTCTTGTCTGTACCTCTGCCCAGGTCAGCATTCTCCAGATTTTTCCCCAATCACAGGAGAGGTTGTCTGGGCAGGTGTGTTGGCTCCACTGGTTTCCAGTTCTGTCTGCCTATCACTGGATGTACAGTGGGTGAGACTCCACCTGGGCCCGTTGATGTGTGGTGTTAGATCCCACAGCTCCCATCAGGGTGCTTTGTTTGTGGATGGATATCTAATTTGTTGTTTTAAAAAGGCGGAGAATAAAAAGGAGGAACATCTTATGCCACCATCATGCTGACGTCACGCTCCTACTTTTTATAAATTACCACTTAATTATTAAAGCAGCTTTCTTATTTAAAAGCCTGTAGTAGGAAACTCATTTTTAGCAAGATTTGAGTAACTGTAGTTACCAGGTCATGAAACAATATTGTTTTTTTTAATGTTATAGAATTGTGACTTTTTAATAAACCAAATGCTTTTCTTACAACTTCCTCTTCTCTCTCTGACTTTTTAATAAACCAAATGCTTTTCTTACAACTCCCTCTTCTCTCCTCTGTTTACCACAGTATTTTAGGCTAAATACAAGGTGTTTGATTCTTTCCATATGCAATTGACCCTTGAAAAGCACTGGTTTGAACTGTGCAGGTCCACTTATATGCAGATTTTCAGTGGCGGTGGCAGTGGGCACCCCTAAACCCCACGTTGTTCAAGGGTCAACTGTATTCTTTATTGCAAAAATGTTTCGTATATCCCTTATGCTAAGTAAGACACAATGTGCTCTCAAAAAATTAGAGAAGTTTGATTATGACTGCCTGAAGCTTATTTCTCTATTCCTTCTGCAAAGTGAGAGGTACAATTCACATTTTGAATAGTAGAATCACTCTATCCTGCCATTTTAAAAGAAAGCCCTATTGATTAATCAGTGAAGGAAGAACTATTTCATATTACTTTGCTTTCACAGACTTAGGCTATTTCACAGCCTACATTTCAATATCTGTGTATAACTCATTAGAATTTAAATGGAAAAAGGCTGTCAAGGTTGGGTTTTGGCTTTCATCATGAGATAGATGTTAGTGTTTAAAAACTGAATCAGAGATTAAAAGTCTACTCCTCACCCAACCCTAGGCTTTCCCTGGGATCCTGGGGAGTTCCTGCCGCCCCATATGGATGGACTCGATTCCTCTGCGAGGCCTTCTGAGCCTCGCTCCTCACTTCCCATCTCTTTTCCCTTGTCTCTGTAAAGATGAGCTCATGTAAATGAGATGAATATGCCTCTGTGTGTGTGTGTGTGTGTGTGTGTTTGTATGTGTGTCTGGTTTACCTTTCAGTCTGTCTGTCAGTGGAGGTGGACACAGATTACCCACAGCTAAGGCCATCCCTTGGTGCCCAGCCTTAGGAAATAAAAACAGTAGGCTAGAGGCTTGAGAGGGATGCATTAATGATGAGATCAAAAGCCAGCTTTTATTGAGCACTTATGTTAGCTGACTCCATCCTCAAAGAATCATCTGAAGTAGATGCAATTATTACTCTCATTTCACAGGTGAGGAAACTGAGTCAGAGAGAAGCCAAGTGAGCTTCCCAAGGTCACATAACTAGTAAGCAACAGGAAAGGGATACGAAGGAACTCTGGGTTTGTCCTGTGGAAAAATATCACCCCCAGACCTGGCATACCCTTCTTCCTGGGAATTTTGGAGAGAGAACCAGAGTCTTACTCATGTGTAGCTGTCCTTGCCCCCGTGGACAGGGGGATACAAAATGGTAGAATTCTAAAATCTTTGAGGTGATTCGTCTCCTTCTCTGATGCATAAATTCTTCTTGAATATTTCCAAGAACTCTTTCAGCTTTTGCTGGAATGCCTCAAAAGATTAAGGAATTTAGTCTCTCATGAGGCAACCCTGTTCTTGGGAGCCCAAAGTGGTAGGAAAGCCCCAGCAGCCCCCCTCTTATGCCTGTCAGTCTTCTGCGATTTTGTTAGAGCTACGGACCACTCATCAGGGGCTACCTGCGTGTGCGAGTCTGCTTTCTCGCCCTCTGGGAAAGTGGGATGGCTATCTTGCTTCTTTCCACTGCCTCAAACTCTGTGGAGTGCGAAACCAGAGTCCTCTTCAGAGGTAGAAGTAGGAAGCCAAAGATTGGACTGGGGGGCAGTCAGCGAGATTAACCCATTAAGTGACATGTCTGTGACCTTCTCACAAATCCTCCGGGTATCTCAACTCTTCACCTGAAAGATTAGGAGATTCGAGGTACATCTTTACCACTCTACATGACACATTTACTCTGGGAGCCACGTATGATGCTGGGACCAATGAGCATGCTTCCTTCGGGAGAATACAAAGGAATTCAAGGTGTGGTTCCTGCCTCAGTGCATCTGCCAGGATCTGATGTAGTCGTGTGTAACCATTAACTTAAACGCAAAATCAAGTGGCTGAAGATGCTCAGAGGAAGATCAGTGTGGACCATTTTTGCCTTTTTACACAATGTTTTCGTTGTGTTGTCCGTGAGTGAATACGTGTGCTTGTCTTCCACCTACAGGTATGTCTCCCAGCAAGGAAGCGCCATACAGCCGTCAGCTCTGGAGCATGAGCAGGATGGCTCTCCTGCTGGGGTCTGCCATTTGTCTGGTGGGAGGTGGGCAAGTAGGAAATGTTTTCTTTCCTTCACTCTCTTTTAATAGTGTCGAACGATTTCCTTTCCCCGAGATTGTGACTGAAGAATCAATATATATCCACTGCAGTCTGAAATGGTTCTGCTTCTTCCTTGTTACGCGCAGTGACCTTTTTCTTTTCCTCTTCCTGCAGACCAGCCGCAAGCATGATGAGCACCAAGGCCTTTACGTTGGTCTCTGCCGTTGAGCGGGAGCTGCTGATGGGCGACAAGGAGCGCGTCAGCATCGAGTGCGTGGAGTGCTGCGGCAGGAACCTCTACGTGGGCACCAGCGACTGCTTCATCTGCCACTTCCTGCTGGAGGAGAAGACTCTGCCCGCCGGGACAGCCACATTCACTGCTACTAAGCAGCTGCACAGACACCTGGGTTTCAAGAAGCCAGTGAGTGAGCTGCGAGCAGCTTCGGCCCTCAACAGACTGCTGGTGCTCTGTGACAACTCCATAACTCTGGTCAACATGCTGAGCCTGGAGCCTGTCCCCTCAGGGGCCCGCATCAAAGGGGCCATGGCGTTGGCCTTGAATGAGAACCCCGTGAACGGGGACCCATTCTGCGTGGAGGTCTGCATCATCTCTGTCAAACGCAGAACCATCCAGGTGTTCATGGTATACGAGGACCGGGTTCAGATTGTCAGGGAAGTGTCCACACCGGAGCAGCCCCTAGCTGTGGCTGTGGATGGCCACTTCCTGTGCCTGGCCCTGACCACCCAGTACATCATCCTGAACTACAACACGGGCGTCTCCCAGGACCTGTTTCCATACTGCAGCGAGGAGAAGCGCCCCATCGTCAAGAGGATCGGGAGACAGGAGTTCCTCCTGGCGGGCCCGGGAGGACTGGGTGAGCAGGGTGCCGTCGCCCCCGCCAACCTCCGCATCCCCTCTCCCTT